CCTTGCACTTGGCCTTGTTGAACTCCATGAGGTTGGCAGTGGCCCACCTCTCCAGCCTGTCAAGGTCCCTCTGGATGGCATCCCTTCCCTCCCGCGTGTTGACCGTGCCACACAGCTTGGTGTTGTCAGCAAACTTGCTGAGGGTGCATTCGATTCCACTGTCCATGTCACTGACAAAAACGTTGAACAGTACCGGTTCCAACTCTGATCCCTGAGGAACATCACTCATTACTCGTCTGCACTCAGACATCTAGCCATCAACCGCAACTCTGATTGTGAACATCAAGCAAGTTCATTATCCACTGAGTGGCCCATTCGTCATATCCATGCATCTCCAATATGCAAACAAGAATGTCCTGTGGGATGGTGTCGGCTCAATCCCACTGTCCATGTTGCTGACAAAGATGTTAAACAGTACTGGTCCCAACAACGATCCCTGAGGAACGTCACTCATCACTGCTCTCCATTCAGACGTTGAGCCATTGACTTCAACTCTCTGAGTGCGAACATCAAGCAAGTTCATTATCCTCCTCAGCATGGCTTCTAGGAGGATCTGCTCCATGATCCTGCCAGGCACAGAGGGGAGACTGACCAGCCTGTAGTTGCCCAGATTCTCCTTTTTTCTCTTTTTAAAGATGGGGGGTTATGTTTCCCCTTTTCCAGTCAATGGGAACTTCAGCAGACTGCCACGACTTCTCAATTATGAAGGACAGAACTTTTGCAACCTCATCCACCAGTTCTTTCAGGACCCACAGCTGTATTTCATCAGGGCCCATGCACTTGTGAACCTTCAGGTTCCTCAGGTGCTCCTGAACCTGATCCTCTCTAACCATGGGCGGCTCTCCATCCTCCCAGTCCCTACCCTTGTCTTCTGTGACTCAGGGGTACGGCTTGCACCCTTGTCAATGAAGACCGATGCAAAAAAAATCATTGAGTACCTCGGCCTTCTCCATATCCTGGGAAACCAGCTCTTACATTTCCCTCTGCAGAGGGCCCACATTTTCCCTGATCTTCCTTTTATGCCCTATGTGCCTATAGAAGCCCTTCTAGTTGCTCTTGATGTTCCTGGCCAGGTTTAGTTCTATTATTAGAACACAAGACACATGCTGGTGAAAAATGAGGACAGCATTGGCTCATTGTGCCTTGAAAAACGAAACCTAAATTAAAGTTCAATGGCAGTATAAAGTGCATCAGGCCTTATTTCCATAGAAGACAGCATGGGCCATGCAAGTCTATGTCATACCTTTTTAAAGAGACTAGCCTGCTTGTTTCAAGATAAGCTTTGGAAAGCTGTATGAGTAGATTCAGAAAAGACAGGGACACTGTACTGAGTTCTCCCCCTTGAACTGCATACTGTCCAGATCACCAATGGAAGAAACACCAACATCAAGTTATAGCTGGTTTTATAACTACCTCGTTACTGGGACAAAACTTCATTTGGTATGCAGCAAATATTATCAACAGTCAGGGCCAGAATTAGAGGACTGTAACTTCTAGAAACTTATTAGAACTCCAGAACCCAGTTTCAAAGATGCAATTAACACATACTGAGATTATTGTTTATTACAGAAGGGTCTTTTATGCTGTCTGTAAATGAAATCTACCTTGCTTATAACAAAACCAAAATGTGGTAAACATTTAAGGTAGCTTGTACATAAATAACCTCAAACCTTTTATGTCAAAGTTTGCATAATTTGGCAGGTCTTTGCAAGGAAAAGAACAGACCACATCTATTCTAAAAAAAGTAATATTTGTTTTTCTCATGCAGTCTATCATTCCTAATAAACTCGGCTAACTATTCAACATTATTATCTTGAGGCTTTGAAATACAAATTTTGAATATTTGCACAATTACAGAGAGAGCCACTGTAAATAAAGCTTTATCATAAAAGCAAAATAAAACATATATAACAACAAAGTTTTAGGGGTACCTAAATAAAATGGTGCCAATGCGTCTTCCTCAGCCTATCAGAAAGGGAGTAAAAATTCTGTATGGGTAAACATATATTTTTAGAGATTTAAAGGAAGAGGAGAATCTTTTCTGCTTTTCTATATTCAGCACAACGAAGCAGTAAACACCAAAAAAGCGAAAAGCTTAATTTCATATCTTTAATAATGTACAGTAGATTTGAGTATGATTAATTCTTTACTCTTATCTCATTAGCGGATGAGATAGAAAAGAGGTAGAGTGGGACAAGGGGAGATTATTTTGCACATACTGCCAGCAATGCAAATTATTACTCCATGCATATCCCCCACCTTAGGAGCTGCACAGTGCAAAGGAGCTCCTAGAACAGTAACATAGCAGCTAAGGAATCATTTCCAGCAGAGTCCTTCCTTTGGAGCAGAGTCATCCTCCAATATCCAGCGTGCCAACAAGCTGGATTAGACTAGCAACGAATTGAGAGATTCATCATGCAGTTGTGGGAAAAATGCCTTTCTTCTGCAGTTTGTAGCTTTTGTATTTACATGCTCACACTAGGAAACAGACCCTTTCATGTACACACGTTCATATATCTCACTATTAAAATCAGTAGAGAATACATCAGATGACTTAGTTGAGTCTGCCCTCGTGAAGCAAAACGGCTTTTATGGTCATGAACTCCCTAAAACTATTGCTGTGTAGAAGACAAAATATCTTTTCTTGACAAAAATTAACCAGCTCTATTATCTTAACACATAATATATTTGGTCATTTTTTCAATCCACTAGAAATCTAGTTTCCCTATTAACTCCAGTTTCAGGTATTATCATAAAATGATACAGATACACACTAACAGAAAATTCACTTTAATATATTCATTATACGGAATACAGAAATTTATAAATTAAAATATGTAGTAGGTATGAAAAAATCTGTCATTTGAAATTCTTCTTTTCCTTGAGAGTTTGAGCATGCTAAATGTAAATATGCTCACCTTTTTTTTTGCACTGTGATGATTAACAGAGGCAGAGTAGAAACTGCATTACAGTAAGTAAATGAAGCATTACTTTCCCATTCCCTCACATTTCTTGGCTTCATGATCATGGTAAAAACTCATGTTTTGCTTGCTTCAAGCTATCTACAGAATTTCTACAGAAATATACCATTAAATACTGTGTAATAAAAATAAATGTGTACTTCATACCGAATGTATACTTGAGTTATAGGTGAAAGATTCCTGCAACAGGGACAGAGGTGCCTATCCATGTGAAATTTAAATGACATGTAATTTAAAAAAAATTAAAAAAAACCCCAACCAAAACAATCCAACTTCAAAACATCCAGAAAGCAAATGAGCATGCAGGACCCAAATCATACCATTTTCCACAATTCTATCAACCAGCTGATTTTAATCAGTGAAGGTATTTTTAGAAAATTGAGTTCTTGATTTCGTGACATTTCAGATCATAATGAAGTCAACATCAATTCAACTGAGATAAACTACAATGATGAATGTTCAAACAGTATGACCTGTGCCTGACTTTCAGATGCTGTTCGCTTGAGCAGCCTGATTTGATCCAGTTCTGAATGCCCCACTGAATTCCGAGTTAGAGACTGCACGGTGTCATTTATGTTGTATCTGCCAGGCTGATAAACCCCATAATATTCTATTCTCTTTTCCCCTGAGTTTTCCAACACCTTTAGTTTCTGCCTAAACTGAATAATTTTACAGGTTAAGAACAGGATCACAGCACAAGCCAGAATGAAAAAGGCCAGTAAAATGTCAAAAGCCTGATTCAGCTTTTCAACCTGTTGTGTACAAAGTAGGGATGTTTTTAACGACACAGGAGTGGCATCTGTTGGAAATAAACCTTTTTCTTCTACAGTTCTGGTAACAGGTATCATCTGTGCTGGTATCTGCACCGGTAATGTTGATACTACCGTAGCTGCCTGCGATGGAATTTCAGCAGCATTTTCTTCGTAGGGCAACGGGTTAGCAGATGTAGCTGTAGTTCCTTCCCAGAAAGCAACATACTTGGTTTCTGCATTGACAAACTCTTCAAAGGCATTGTGCCTGTTTCCCTTATGCCACGCCATCAGCAACGTGGTAGTGCTGTGACGGACACCTACCGATCCTAGGCTCCAGGCTGTTTCTGGACTGGAAGTGGGGCTACTGCAGTTTGCAAACTGAGCCCACTTCATGTAATGCAAAGGTCTACCACGCATGCTCAGGGGGTTCTGACAGTGAATTTTTACAGGAACAGGAGACGATGAGAGCCAATTAAGCAACCCAAGCATTTTGCAGGTGCAGTTCCAAGGATTGTAATTTACCTGTAGATGAGTTAAAGACACTAGGGGCTTGAGCACTTCAGGTTGTAACTCTGTAATATTATTAAATGCTAAACTGAGCATTTTAAGTGACTGTCCCATTTTTTCAAAGGTACCATCACCAATACTGGTTATTTTATTTCTGTCTAACTGCAGATACATTAAGTTGTTCAATAAAGTAAAAGTGCTGGAATTTATATTTTCTAAATCATTATAACTTAAGATTAACTGGCTAAGGTTGTTTAATCCAAAAAATCCATTTACAGCAATACATTTTAGCTTTACGTTTTTTAAAGACAGATGTCTAAGCTTGTTAAGTCCTTTAAATGCAAAAGGATGTATTGATCCAATGGGATTGTGAGACAAAGAAAGTCTTTCAAGATTTTTGAGCCTTCCAATAGCATTTGAGGGCACAAGTGTTAAGTTATTACCTTCAAGGAACAAATATGCAAGGTTTTCAAGATGATGAAATGCTGAATCTGATATCCGTGAAATCTTATTATTGGCTAGGTTAAGTGTTTGGAGACTCATCATTCCCAAGAAAGTTCCACTTCCAAGGACACTGAGACGATTTCTTTGAAGTGTTAAATATCTCACAGAAAGGAGATCACTAAATAATCCTCTTGGAACAAACGTTATTTGATTATTCTGAAGGTATAAACAATGAAGATTGGAAAGACCTTCAAAGATTCCTGGATCCAGGCGCTTAATATTATTGTTATTTAGATGCAAGTAGCACAGTCTGGGCAGTTCCACAAAAGCTTTTGGGTGTACATACGAAATACTAGAGTTATCCATGTAGAGTGCAGCAAGATTCTGAAGGCCTCGTAGTTCATTTGGAATGACATGCGATATATTATTCCCACTGAGGTACACAAGAATTGTCGTTTTTGGAAAGTTCCGTGGGATGCTCCAAAGCCCTAAATTACGACAGCTAACTTGTCTCCCTGTGCAGAGCTGGCAAGCAGCTGGACAGCCAAGAGCCTCCTTCTGGAGCAGCAACAAAAGAAAACAATTAAGGATATACAGGAATGCGCCCAGGCAGGGTGGAGAACTTTGCAGACCACACATATCCCTGTATTTGGCCTTCTTACTCATCTCTGACTTCACTAGTAGAGATAAAAAGAAGTTTATAAATATTATTAATTCAAAAGTTTAAAGATACTACATGTACAGTCTTTAAAAAATAATCTCTGCTTCAAGAATGGTATTTTATTAATTTTCCTTTCATGCCAAATAAGCAGTTTAAAAATAAAACTTAAGTGTGAAGTTTGAGCTACACTGAAAAAATTTCAAGGTAAACAATGAAACAAATGTACTCCCAACCTAGCCAGAAAATATTTAACTGGCTGCCGCATAAAAGCAAATAAGCAGCCAAAATAACTGCTTCTAGCAAATTCAAAATACTGCTTGTTAACTATTTTTTATAGTTAATAATAACTAGGAAATATTTCAATAGCATTCAAGCAGAAACGCCAACTGGAAAGAAGTTTCCTTTCACTGGCGGCTCATTATAATTTGAATTTTACTTTTTTAAAGCTGAGTTACATTCAAAATAAACAAACAATTCCTTACCCCAAATCTGAAGTTCATTATTTCTGTTATTTTTCCGTTTTGCAGCTCACTGGACCAAGTTACAAGCTGACCAACTACACTCATCGGTGAAACCTTTGTAAAGACAGTATTCCTGCATACTAGAGCCCTCACACTTTGCCCCAGGATTTGCAACTGTTTGCTCAGGAAACTAAGACAGAAGTGGTTAAAGTCAGGTTGCCATGGATACAGGAAACCCTGGGACAGGAAGCCATTTTATCTGTGCTTCACAAGTATTGTTGGAAAGGAAATCTCAATGATTCGTTTCTAGAAAACCAACAACTATCTCAGTTTGTAAATGTTGCTGCTTTGTTGGTTTCTTGTTTTAAGCTACCGTTTTTAACAAGGAGAGCTCAAAAGAGTTTTACCTAAGTTAGGTGTAACTTTTGGAATAAAGCACATCTATTTGTAACAGCACCATTGCATTAGCTGTAAATCCTTTACCTTTCATCCAGAATCCCAAATGTTTTATTAAACCAACAGCAACACTCACAGTGTTGTCTCTCTGTCTGCAGAGCCAAACTGCTGCCAACAGCCCCCCCCCGGCCAGAGTCCTGGCAGAGAGGGAGAAGACAGAGGTCTGGAGGGCAGAGCTCCGGTGTGCTGCACTCCAGCAAGGCACAGCCTGCCAGCCAGGAAATCTTACAGATGAGACCTTCGTGATGTGGTACTGAACTGCTCTGTATCTGCTGTATCTCAGACTTGATCTAGGCACTTTGTTACGTCTCACTTTAGGACACTTTCTTTAAAGCTCATTTATCCGCAGAGGACTATATACGTTCTGGCAGCCACGCAGCTGCTCCACAGCTCTCATTTCCTGCAGCGTCCCGTGCGCAGATGAACACTTTGTGCAAACATACGTGCTATAATTATCCCCCTCGCTCAAGTACCAGAGATTACATCCTCAGTTAATCCATCACAGGGACTTAATGCCTGCAAAATCCAGGCACATTAAAGGGGGAAAGGACAAACAACAAAACGCGATGGTAAATTAGAGATTAAGCCTGCCAACAGCAAGCACTGTAACTATAAAAATAATGATTTATACTGTAATGAGAGCTGCTCAGCAAAAAGATGACAAAATCCATCAGTACCCACAACAAAGGCAGAGACAACAGCAGCAGAATCAAGTCACTTTGGCCACAACAATCCCACACAGGAAGCACGAGTTCATGTAAACAGCAAAATATCACCCTAAATTTGCCTGTAGTAATCCAAGTTGAAACACTCGTGAGCAAAGGAAGCAGAACAGACAAGGACTTGCTTTGGAAGAGGCATTCTTCCAAATTCTACCAAAACAAAGTTACATTTCTGAAGTTTAAAAAAAAAAAAAATGTTTTTGAACATATATTACTGGCTTTTTGTATTTCAAATCTGGAAAATATTCAGTATCAAGAGAAATAATACTTCAATTTTTGAACTCGAGCTGGCCAGAATTACCTAGAGCTGGGATGGAGGGGAATGGTTAAAAAAAAAAAAAAAAGACCTTCAATTCTATCAGAGTCCCCACCTCTCAGAGTATCTAGTCTAAAGTAAGAAATCAGTAGGACATACCTCTTACAGTATCTAGTCTAAGGTAAGAAGTCAGCAGGACCAGTAAAATTGGTCCATGGGCCACCTTAGACAATGCCTGTATTAGTTACAGCCCAGAATTTAATCTGCATTTTGTTCCTTCTTTCTTTTTTTTCCTGAAACCATTGAAACAATAGGGAAACTTACTTGTTCTTTAGATTTAACTATTTATTTTCATGATGTTTAAATAATCATTGATATACAGGAAAGTAAAATAAAATGGGATATTTCCTTAAAGGGAAAACACTGTACACTTCTGAACAGTTCCCAGGGTGATTAGGGAATTATGCTGATATGGGAAAAGAACACTAAGAGAAACTGAAAAAGATTATCCAGGTCAAATAGAGTCTGGTGAAGGCAAAACCACAGATTGACCAAAAACTAAAAATTACTTCAAACTGGAAATTATCTCCTACCTAAGCTTCACTAGCTACAGTCTATTTATGCTGATACATACTTGGGTAAAGAAATCATTGAAAATCATGTCTTCCAAGATGTGCTGTGTAAAACCACCCCACAGGGCTAAAAAGGAGCAAGTCCCAATCTAAAAAAAACCCAAAAGTTTTGAAAGACAAATGTTAATAGACCTCCCTCTTTGCAAAATGCCAGAACTAACTTCAGAAAAACTGCAAGAATTGATGGTCTATGGGTATCAGAGAGCATGGAAACCTAGAGAAACCAACAGAGTAGTGGCCAGATAAATGAAAGCAGGTGCTCAGTGAGTGGCTGAGCGTCTCTGTGGTCTTGTAACAAAGGTAACATCAATATTCATAAAAATTTTGCTCAAACCCTAGCTGCCAATGTGGTTCTCAGTGCATTGCTGACCTTTCTAATTCTCAGATCCCATGTACAAAATGAGAAAGAAAAATTTTAATCCAGGTCATAGCTCCTTTCAGTTTCCACTAGCAAATCTGGAGAAAGTCCTGACTTGCACTTTGTAAATACAGCACCTGGAGTTCTGCAGATCTGATCGGATTGTAATTTGCAGGCAGTGCTTCATTAATAGTACAACACGCTTAGAGTGTCTGAAAGGAACATCTGTTAAGAATGAGGGGCAAAAGTAAGGTGCTACATAACATACCATTTTCAGGAAAACCATAAAAAAGACTGGAATACGCCATAACTTGTATCAGCATTTCTCAAACTGGCTTGTACTTAAACAATAAAATTCATTAGTAGTTGAAAATTATAAGGAAAACATAAAACCCCAAACATTTCTTTCAAACAAGCTTAGGCAGCTCCAATGGTGGTGCATTTTTTTTGCTGTAAATTTCTTCCCCAGTGATAGAAACACCAGGTTTATAACTGAATACATGTTCACAAGGCAACAGAGAAAATTGTTTTTGAATCCTGAAGTGAATTTTATCTTAGTATGTTAACAAGGATGAAGCAGCTAATGTCATTGCTTTTTAACATCTTAAAACCTAGTTCAACAATGACTCCTTGTCCATGAAGTCTGAGCAACAGCAATTTGTCAAACTGCATAAAATAATGACGGGTCAAAGTAATGGAAAGAACACACAAGCACTGCACACAGTACAGCCTTTCCAAACAATTTCTATCTTCTCAATGATCCATGTTAGATTAAAGCGAAGACAACTCAGGCTATGAATATTAGCTGGCTTAAAATAATCAGTTAACTGCAATTTATGTTTAGCAGGAAAACATGCAACAAGTTGAAAACCAGGTTCTAAAGTTACCCTTCTTTTAAAATGTTTTAAAGACAATTTTTGAAGAAGGATTTCATTCTCATAATCACTACAAAATTATGTTAAACCTCAAAAAACAAAGTAAACCCAATTTTTAGCCCTGTAATAACTCTTTTGCGCTTGCAAGAGTGAAACTACTTGTTGCCTTCCCACCGTGTATTTAGCAAGTACCTCCCCTCTTGCTGGTCTTCCTTCCTTCTGCTTTCATTCTCCACAGGGGTAGGCTAGAAACAACCTTCTTGGTTGTTTCTTCCCAAACACCTACCTTCCCAAACAGCTACCAACTTCTCTCCACATCATTCTCTGGAGGTGATCCTAAGGCAAAGCAATTCAGCTGCTAACCTACTGCTTAGGTAGCACACACATCAACATTTAATCTTATTTTACCAACCTACATCCTGTAACACCTCCTGTGGACACTTTATTAACGTTAACTTATCAGACCTCAACACCCCTTTTTTATTGTTCTTGTTATCATCCAGATTATCTCAGAATTTCTGATTATCTCAAATATTGAAGATTCCTCCTAGTATTTCACATTCTTGCCAAAGTAAAAATCCTTATTTGCTGTTTCAGTTGCTGAAAATTTGTCTGTCCCACAGTGTTACTCTTTCCACTCATAGCAGCAACAGTGATAGTTACAAAAGGGAGACACTGGCAGAGAAATTGCTATACCAAATTAATAAACCAGCAAAAATGCTCTTCCTTAATAAACCTACAGTACGAAATATTTGTCTATGTAACATGCATCACAAAATCTGTTTCGAAATTATGAAGCTATCTTTGTAACTTATTTTCCTTCTAAACCTTGGCAATTATTATTTTTATTACATTACCAAGCAGGTTTTGCAACATGCAGAGAAACAATAAGAAGTGAAAACTATCTAATTATTTTTCCCTTTGAGGATAAGGAAATGAGTTTTATTTCTATAAATCTTATTTGGCTTTAGATACTAGTAAAATAATATGGCAGAAGGCTCTTATGAAACCAAGAGCTCACTTTGAGAAACTGTTAGAGTAAGTTTCTCACCTCGTAGTAATTATTGCACCAAAGAACTGCATTTGTCATGCAAACTGACAAAAAACCAAAGTCTTCTACAGAGTGAGCAGTAAGTCTGTGAGTAAAGCAGTAACGTAAAAAAGCTTGGACATCAATGAAATCCACAAATGGGATATGCTGAGAATAACTGTATTTATAGCTTTTGCCTTTACTATTCACCGCAA